ATAAATGTTGAATAAAATTCTTTATTATATGCAACATAACGTAATCCTACCTCCATTTCTAACTTTTTTCCATATAGATAAGATGGTAGGTTGTAAATACGGGTGGGGTGGGGGAGGGGCGGGGGAGGGGAAGGGGAGGGGAGGGGGAGGGCGCGCGCAGCGCGCCGTGCTAAACGCATTTGCAACTTACACATAAACCAAACTTTTTTTGTTAATAACTTTTTAACGAGCAACGAGCGACGGCTAAAACCTTCTGAGGGTCACTCAGGAGGGTGACCTTGACCTTGACCTTGAAGGTCAAGGTCGTAGGCGCTGGGTCCCCTATTCGGCACTTTTACCGTGAGTATACTGAGTTTGAATATTTAGTATAATTCAATACGTGAATTGCAGTCAAGAATGATATCCACGGATTGAATAGATCTTTTCTCTCCTTCTTTCTCTGTATACGAACATATTAGATATATTTAATTAATCTATTTAGCCGAATTTAGAGAAGCATGAATATTGTACGTTTTAATAAAAATAATTGTATTTATGATTTATTGTAATTCTTTATAAATATTTATCAAGATATTTTATAGATATTTTTAGGGTCTGAGATTAAATAGATCATAAAAAGATTTATCACAAATATTTATATAATAAAATATTTTGATACAATATAAAACACGGTTTAAAATAATGTAAAAATATGTTCATTAAACTGTCAAAATATTTAAAAAAACTTATTGTTAACAAACTTTACATTTGAAGATAATCAAATAACAAATTTTCGGTGCCGTGTGCGAATAGCGTCTGTCGCGGTCACCCATCCAAGTTAAAACACGCTCTCGACAGTCTCGACGTTGCTAGACCTCGTTGATCAGATAGGTTAGCTGTCGTCCTCTGGCTCTGGCGTTTATACACGTAGTACGTAATAAGGAAACACGTCTTTATAATGTTTAAGAAATATTGAAATGAAATTTAGGTTGCGTATGTATGGAGTGTCTAGTGTGTGTGGAGTATGTGGTATTTGTGCACTCATACTCACAGAAATATTGTAAATGCAATTTTATAAAAAGCATGATACAGGCGAAAACATTTGTGAAATGTTTCAGTTGCATACACGTCAGTACGACGGGGTGCCTATTCGAGCAGGCACGCATGGTCGTTTACAACTACTGGTTGCGTCCGCTTTGGCGAAATTATATCACGAGATTAATGACAGTAAATTTGTTCAGGCACAACACGGAGTCGTGATGAAGTCAACATGACGTCATAATGATTACAAAAATTATATTTTGATCATAACGGAAAATTGATCAATTTATGAGTTTCAAATTTAGAGACGCTAAATAATGGGTGCAAAATGTTATTTTTAACAATACCGAGAAGAATGTGACTTGTATGACATTTGTATGATAATTTCGCCGAAGCCTACGCAACGTGCAGCTGTGAACGACCATGCGCGCCTGCTCAAATAGGCAACCCATCGTCCTGACATGTATGTTACTGTAACAACCTGTAGGGGAACCCGGGGCATAACGGAACGGCGGGGCATAATGGGATATGATCTATAACTTTTTACAGAAGTGCTGTTATGTATTGAAATATTTTGCAATTATTGCTATTAGATGATCCTTATCGCATGCTGTTATCAGTTGTCATGTTATTTTTAACTGAAAAATGCTATAAATTTTTTAATGCGTTCGCTGCACTCTCCGTGACTCGCTTATAATTTCGTTGATAGATCAGCATGAGGTAACAATGATAAAATTCTATTTTTTATTACCATAAGTAATTTTACGCTATAAAACAATCTCTTCTAGTCACTTTAGTAAAGTATTTCTGCACAGATATTGATTATCAATGATATTTTGTATTTATTTAGTGTAAAGGTACATTGGGGGCATAACGGGACATTAGGCCGTGGGGCATAATGGTACAATAGGTAACCTCTCCTTATTAGTTGACTCGTAAGTGTTAAGTTAACGGAGCATGTCTCAACAAAAAATTGAAAATTAACAGCAACATT